ACAGGCAGTCACAGGTATTGCATGATAATTTGTCTTCGGGCCTGTTCCGTATTGACGAGTTGTACAAAAAGTTTGAAACCCAATGAATTAATTGCTTTCTAATGCTACCCTGCGTAAAGCCGAAAGATAAGTGGCAGCCTGTTTGATGTTGGTCACCTTTGAAAAGTGTCTGTGCACAAATGTGCCTAGCTTGCAGCTACCTTCAGAAATGTGCTGGCCGGCCTTCCAAAATTCCCTGGCTTGGAGCCAGCTCCTGGCTCTCGCAATCCGTAGCGTGGAGGAGAGAGATGGGAAAGGGCTGGTGGTGGATTGCTGTGCTGACCTGCCGTTCCCTCCTGGTGTGACCGGCAGCACATCCACCAGGTGACATAGTGCAAGTGTCCCTTGTCATATGATGGCTGTGTGTCCAGGCCTGGCACGGGGTCGCTCGGCATTCTCATCGGGTCACGTAAAGGGAGCTGGCTGCCTTCCCTGCCCCGTGAGTGGAAACACACCTCTCTCATCACTCTGTCATTTGAATGGCATGAGCTCATCAGGTGGTGAAGAAGTGACTAATGTTTTGGGTGTCTGAAGGAGGAGGGGAGAAAGGAAGGCCCAGGTCACAGTGTTTGCCTCTGTGAGATCCTGTTGGGCCCTCCTCGACACAAAAAATGGGTATTTCTGTCCTATGTATGCTTGTCTATAAATGCAAATGGTAATCATTGGAATAAGCACTGTAAACAACAAAGTACTGTGAGTTATGATTGGTACTCTTAAATGCAGCACTTGCTTTGGGCTAAAAACCGACAATATTCTTGAAAGCATCCGTGTGTGCTGTTTCCGTCTTCATTAAAGAAAATAGCCCCAAAGACTTCAAACGGTGGAGAACTTGCAGAAGGTATCTGCTTACAGTTATTAAAGTAAGGAGAAGCACAAAATGTTTTAACGATGAAAATCAAAAACAATCTTAACCTTTTTTCCTCCTGAAAGGAATGCAGATGGAAACAAAATTAAACTGGCCGTTCAGCTTTTCCCGGTTGTCTGAAATGGCAATTAGGCCTTGAGCTACACGAGGCGGCTGAATCGGACAAAGCTCTACTGTGGTGTGACTTCTCAGCTCTATCAGCTTGCAACCTGTATTGACAGAGCAATTTGTGAGGGGATCTTATCAATTGGATCTTTCAGTCCCGTGTCTGTTGTTCGTTTCTGTAGGCAAATAATTTCTCGGGGGTATGGTTCAGGTGAAGGTGAAATCATGAGATTTAAGAAACTGAGGATAAGTACTGCAGTCAAGCAATCAGGCAGTTTAACATGCAAGCTTAACAAAAGTTTGAGTAAGTTTTCAAGGTTTATTTCTCTTTGAAATTCTGGTATTTTCAGTGGAAATAATCAACTGAGTAGCTGAGTCGCTGTGGTGGTAGACCTCCCTCCGCAATGTGTGATTCTAAGTAGCTGCTCAGTTTGTTAGAAACAGGGGATGGAAATATGGAAAAGCATCATTTGTTTCATGTGTTGTTGGAAACCGATGAGTAAAAGTTCCTTTAAATCATGAACCAGTTCAAAGAGGTTTTATTCTTGCTGTTTCTCTTTTTGTTTTCTTAAATTCACGAATGGGCCAAATGCTACTGAAGCATAAAGGAAATGGATTTACACTCAGATGCTTGTGACTAGTACCTTACACTACTAATGCATCTCGGCATTAAACTGTCAGAGAAGAGATCAAGTATTGGATCATCCTGGAGAAGGAAGAGCAAATTAGTGACTAGAATAGTGGTGAGAAATAGGTAAATTTTGTATCTTCTGTGTGAAGTTCTGCCTGAAATTGACTGTATGAGACTTGCATCTCTCATACCAAAGGGCTGAGTCTCATTCCAAGGTAAGTTTGAGGAATGTCATAGAAATTGAGTCATCATTCCCTTATGTTAAGACAGCGATGAAGCTTTTGCTAATTATTCCTTTCATACTCTTCCATGGTGCAGAAGAACAGGTAGTGAAGTAATGATCATAACTTAGATTTTCTTGCTTCTTGTCCAGAGGAACTTAGGATAAGTGACTAATCTCATGTGCATCTGGCACATCATGAATGGATTTACAGCGCTAGATCAGAAGATGGTTTGAGGAAGACATATATCATCTGTGTAATTGTCAGTAGTTAAGAAAAAGTATGATATAGTAATATGGTATTTGCAAGTATATTACTTCTTTGGCATCCTGTTAAAGATCATGCATACATCAGGTCTGTCTTCATATATTGGGGCTGTGATGAAGCAAGCCATACACTTTCTCTGAACACACATAAGAGACAGTTTTCCACGATGAGTATAGAGTATTCTGTTTGTGGCTACCTGAGCTCATAGAACTTGTTTTAGTCTCACGGGAGAGTGAAGACATTCCAGGGAGGTCTTCTCTGTAAGTGCTGCTGTGTAGAAACAACTAACTTGTCAGGAGCTTGTGTGTGCTTGCTGTCTTTCTGTCTCTCCCCCACCTCACTTTTCATCTCCCTCTCCACCTCATTATCTGCTTTTACTGAGAATAGATGGAGCGTCTACTTCTGCCCTGTACCTCCATGGTTAAAAACGCTGTATTATTTCTGCTTTTGAAGTCCAAGCTTTTCAGGAAAAGAACAGGTTCTCTCAGTAATGTAGTTAGTCAGATTTTTCATATCTACAGTGCATTCTAAGCCAGAAATGATAATAAACTTGGTTTCTCTTCCCCACCCTACTCTTAATTGTGTTATCTCAACATCAGTGATTAAAGAAAGCTTTGACAGTCAGTCAAAACCTGAGATGACATAATACTCAGCTGGGTTTTGAGCTTTTCCAAGAAGTAATGAAGCCCACTGAGTTTACATGAAAACTTCTGAGGCAAAGCTGGTGATTTAATGTTTGAAGATTACTGTGTAATCATTGCTCTTTATTTATAAACCACCTGATTACTCAAAGCTTTCACATTGTTGCTGTAATGGAAGGTAGAAGTGGCTATCCGTTTTTTGAAATAAATATGCAAAAGTGTGAAGAAACCAATATTTAATCAGCATGTCCCTTCCAGACTGAAAGGTTGGTCTTTACCGGAAAATCCTGTTTGGTATAATTGAGGAAAAACTGTTGGCTGTTCTGGTTTTTGCCCTCAGAAAGTAGCAGGTCTTCTGACCCAAGGGAGGCTTTGTGGACAGTCAGCGTTTTGGGACTGCGTGTGCCTTTCCTTGCTCCCTTGATCGGAAATTACAATCGTTGGGATTTATGGAGATGTATAGGTTTTCTGTGTGTTAGGACAAGATGTTTCCATGTATGCTTGGCTTACGGCATTGAGGCCGTTGGGGTGCAAGTCTGGAGGATTCATTAATAGACATGTTAAGTGCCTTTCCTTCTGTCCTTTTACAGAAGGAATCACATAGAACTGAGTTTTTTTTTTTTTTTTTTTTTTTTTTCCCTGCCTTGGGGACTGCTCTGAGAAACGTGACGGGGAAGGTTCTCCCTTCCCTCTTATGGGAAGGGGGAATAATATTATTATTCAGAACTTCAAAAATGCTTTAAAAATGCAGATTTTACCATATTTTGTGAAGACAGCAAGCCCATGTAAATATTCTGGTAAATTATTTGAATTACATGAAAGAATTACATCTTTGTAATGGTATGCTAGTGTTCTCAAAGAGTAACTTTTGACTTGCTTTCTTGCAACTGACAGGATGAAGAGTGACACGTTTCTGTGGAATTTCTGGTTTGTAGAGAAAAAAGCAGGCAATTAAAGCTTTCAGTTAGGGAACCTGAAGTAAATATTCACTTAACACTGTTTTAAAGGGTAATTTTTGCATGTGAATATTTGAGTACTTACTTGGCTGGTTTTGTATTTTCATTATGAAAAGTGAAATTTCATTCAATTGATGGGATGAAAATATCTTTTTGTCATTCCAAAAAAGATGGAAGGATCTTTTCATCTAATTTGAAAAGGCACAGAATAAATCAGTACTATTGGTATCTACATGTACGTACACAAGTTGTGCCAAAGTGTGGGTGGGGGGCACCTGTTGGGGGTGTTCGTGACTCAGGGACACTTTCCCTTCTTGAATGAACGAGTGTTATCCCATACCGCTGAGAAAATGAAGTTAACAAGCAAGATTTTTTTTTTCTTTTCTGTAGTTCTGCTTTTCAATTCTTAGGATAGTTGATTGATAATCACAAGAATTTTTTACGGTGAGTTTAGGGAATTATTTTTGTTAACCAAGAAAATATACTACTGGAGGACTTGCTCTCACCAAAATTATTAAGTCACTGCGCTGTTTTTGTACTGTGCACTGGATATGTACTATATTACAAAGAACCACAGTAGCTTTTATGGAATGCTTTGATTCTACGTGACTATATAAATATGTCTTCTGTGTAAGAATAAAAAAATACAATGCAGGTTAGAATTTTAGTTTGTGATTTTACAAGTGCATATATGCTTAACTTCAAGTGCGTGTTTGGTCTTGACTAATTCATTGTGGTTATTTTCATGGCTACCTGATTGTTTGCAGGGTTAAGGCTTTGGTTATAAACTTTTAGTCACATAGGGAGTTCAGAGGCAAAGCGAGAACGTTTGAAAATACTGAAACCAGTAAGTGACCTATATTAGTGGCCAGGTAGGCATTACTGCTGAAACAGTGAATTACTCAACCGCTTTCCTACCTTGATCTTCTGAAGTAACATGGCAGTAATACTTGCATAAAGGCTGTTTCCATGTTTTAGCTTTATCCCTTACTTTAGATGATGGAAAGTAATTGTTACAGTACTGCAATTTATTAGGACTTACTTGGCGTAATTAGGTGAGCAAGAATCAAATGTCACCATAGGATTTGCTGTGCTAAGCATAAGTAGATCAGAGCACAAATGTATCCCATTTAGAATCTGAAATGTCTGCTAGCTATGCTGTGTGTAGGCCTGAAAATAATTTTCTTAGTTTCTTCATAGTAGTATCTGGACAAACTCATTAGAGCAGTATGTCTTATTTGAGCTGTACAATTTTTTCTTTATTTTCTTATTTAGATGTCGACACGTTTATTTCTCAAACCCTAAAAGGAGAAAATCTGTCCAAGAAAGCAAAAGAAAAAAAGGATGTTCTTCTTAAGAAGATAAAAGAGGTTAAGGCAAGGTACGTGAGCTTTATGGCTTTAATATGTTAATATGTTGTAATGTAACTTCCTGATAACTTAGTTGTGTTTTTTTTTTATAGTCTTTTAATAAGCATTAGCAATATTAATAATCTGTTTATATCTTGATTTTGTCAGATAATCTGTATGGGTTTACCTCTATATCGTTCATGAAGCTGCTAGGATTCAGTAAGAAAAGGGAATGTAAAGATTTGTCCCATTTGAATTGCTGTAATATTCTGAACCCTGACTGTAAAACTTGTTGCATAGAGCTTACTTTCACCTCTACTGTAAAGAAGACTCATTAAAATACAAGAAAGAAAATGTATTAACAATATGAATGAGCTTCTTATTGCCATCCTCAGCTGGTGTAACATAGTAATTCAGTGCTGAGTTTGCTTTACTGTATAGTCTGCCCTTGAGCTCTTTGTAGTAGAAAATTGAAACATAACTGGATACTAGTTTGTTTCTGCAATGTTACAATAGCAAAATGCTGGGGCAGGCCAAGCAAATGTTTGTTCGGGTGATTTTTAAATAACTACAAACAACAAAAAATCAGCTATGATTTCAGACGCAGCTCTATTGTGATTTACTGTTAATAAAAACAATTTGTTTAAAGATATTTGGCTATTGTTTTGTGTGTGCTACAAAATATCCTTTGCAAGATTTATTTTCTTATAACTCTAGACAACTAAGACATAATCTAGTACGTGCTATTCCTTTCCCATTGTCATTTCTTATGTATCTTTCTACTGATTGCTCCTGTTGGATACCTCCTAAGCTCTGCTTTGATGGTGTGCTCCTGCATATGTGGCAACTTGTTTACAGTTTCAAAGACAGCACAGTCATCTGGCAGGGGCATCATTCTTAGTATCGTAAACTGGGGGAAGACTTGAGATGTGTCCAAAAATCTTGTAATTGAAAACTTTTGTGCATTTCATTCCGGCTGCAAATGCTTAAGCGTACGCATTTCTCAATCTCTTATCCTCAGACCTTTCCTTTCTCTCCTTCTCATTACTTGTAGGCATCTCCTTACTGAATAGCCTGTTACGTGCACTACTGGTTATTGTCCATAAAGATGATTTTGGCAGCTGCATTTTGTTTGCCAGTCATTTCTGGTGAAATTTTCTTTTCACACAATCTCTAGTCAGTACATGCTTCTTGAATAGCCATTTTACATAACTCTCCCATGATTATTTATCTTCATACATCAAAGTGTATCCGAGGATTATTTTTTTTTCTGAAGAAACAGTATTTTTTGCCTGTGGGATGATAGATATTTTTTTAGGCATTACATAGACATCTTTGTATTTGAAAATGCTTCTATATTCAAACAAGCATCAACTTTTAAATATATAGATAATTATTAACACTTCTCTTTGGATTTGAAAATATAGCACAACTAGAACTACAACTTCTGGATTTTTTTTCCTGCTAACCTACTGTGTTATAGGATATGTTTAATGGCTTTTACTTGCACACAATTTTTGAAATAATTTTAGTAAACCTTTTAAATGTTAACATACAAAAGCATCTTCATATTAAGATATCTGAGTTCGACATATATACCTAGAACAGACTGCCCTATGAGAGTTGATTTTTTGTTGGAGTCTTCTTTAAAAGGACTGGGGATTCTCTCAGCTGCAAAGGTAACATGAAATATAGTTAAATAATTTAGCCAAAAATAAAAATTGAGGAAAACTAGCAGCACTACGTTTCAATCACGGGAAGTAGTTGAAAACTAAGAATTGTTTTATGCTCTGTTCTGTTGCTCTGGATTTGCAAATGTGTTGCATTATGTTTTCTTTTTCTTCTTTTCTGCAGTTACCCTCAAGAATTCCAGGATAAAGGTAAATGTCATGCATTTTTTTTTTCACTGTAGTATATTTTTACCCACTGACACTCAGTTGAACAATCAGAACATGCTCTGTTTTTAAATGCTGAAGCGTGTGTTGCTCGACTCTCCAGGCTGAGGCTGCTAGCTCCACCTGCTGAGGGAAACAGAAAAGAGCTTCCGAGTTTCAGACTTCGTGCTGAGCCATCATTCAGGGCTAGGTCCCGTTCCCTTCATTTAACTCATGTAAGAATGCTTACTGATGAAAAGAAAAGTTAGAAAAATAGCTCAGAAATTAATATATATTATGTAAGTCAGAGCTTATGTCTGACTTAATTAGTAATAGCTTAGCATTGCGTAAGGCCATGTCATGCAAAAAAATTTTTTTTTTTTTCAGAAGAAGTGTATGCAAAGTAGTCAGCTTAGGAATTAAAATGGTAACAGAATAACTTATTTCAGCCTCTTTTCTCAATAATGATCACAAAAGTCTTCAATTCCATAGTGATATTTCTTCAACCTTTTAATAGGCTCATCTAGTGGCAATATGATATTGGCTTTTGATCCACAGCAAACGAATGTTTTCATAATGCAGCAGGATCTCAGACCTTTAGTTGGAGAGGAGACAATTTAACGTGTTAGTAATGAAAACTGAAGTGTGGGTTATCTATCATCTTCTAGTGGAGTTAAAACAATGCTGCAGAGTTCAGTTTAGAAAAGACTAAGGAGTGTGTTGCTACAGTGTTCTGTTCTGTAACTAAACCTGGAAGGGCTCTTATTTCCATGATGCTAATTCTTGAGGTCGTGACCTATAGCCTGTGGATGCTGGTATGAGGGTCACAGTGTGAGGTCAAAAAAAGCCTATGCAAAACTCCACTTCTTGTAGTGGTTGAGAAACTGTCTGTTTCTGTACCCGGAGGTTCAGATTTGTAGGCTACATTGTGCCTCCTGATAAAGTGAAAATATGTAAGTCATATTCAGGCAAGTAACGTTACAACAAGGCACAACAAGTTCATACATTTCTTATCACTGCTTGAGTCAAGTCATAGAAGTATAACAGTTCAACTGCGTGAAAAAATACAACTGCCCACAGATTGCCAAGATTTTGTAAATTAAAGCTATGTTGATTCTTTTAAAAATTATATTAAAATCATTGCTGTTTTTTAAAGTTGTACCTTAGCACACTTACTACAGTTAAAATGTAGTTTCCCTCCTTCTCTCACTGTCCAAACTGAATTAAGGATGAAAAAGTTAAATGTTATTTTATTAAGAAAATGACTAATGTGAAAATAGGAGAGATGCTTGTTTTGTTACAAATATGAACTATCTGGAAAGCATGCTTTTGAAAAGTTAATATGTCTCAGTCTGCAACTCTCTAGTAAATTTGAGAATTGTCTGCAGAGAACAGCTTTTGATTACGGCTTCTTTTTTTTTTTTAAAGTTCAAGGGAGTTCTAACCTATTTGCTTTCTTCATTGGCAATTTGATTCAGCGTTTCTTTTGCAACTCACAATTTATTAATAAAAATAAGGTTTCATTATCTCCAGTAAAATGTGATTTAATTGATATAGTCTGTAATTGTAGCTATAAAACTTGCTCTTACTTCTGTGAAAATTATATTCGATCTTATTCTTTTTATTAGAGTGTATTTGCTTCTTAAGGAGGATATATTGTGTCTTTTATTTAATTCTCATGCTCATCTCTTAGTTTCATCTCTCTGAAACTATGTACAGATGGTGAAGCTTGCAAATGCTGACATCTTAGTTTTCTTCCAGTATTTATCAATAAAATGAGAGGGCTTTAAAGTTATACCATTGTCTTCTGCAAATAAGGATAAGTTTCTCCAAATCCAAGTACATTTACATCCACGAGTATGAAAAATTTGTAAGAAACATGACCCTGCATTTATTTGCAAAATATTTGTGGGAATGTGGTTCAGTGGTATGAGTTGTCAGTGTAATCTCCAGAGATCAAGAAATGTATGCTAAACTTTATTTGGGTAGTGTCATTCTTACTTTAGGCCCGTACAAATTAGGCGTGACTTGTGTAGGTGTAGAACAAAGGACTCACATGGAGGTGAGCAGTCAGATTCTTTGCCAGCTATTGGTGTAACAAAGCAGAGGCAGCTGCTGAATGAGGTCAACTTTTGTGCATGTTCTTACCTACGTGCACACCTAGATGTTTGAAAAATGGAAAAATTAATATTTAAAACTGCAGTGGTATCGATGGGAAAGACGTCTGACCATTCCTCCAGCCCTCTACAGAGAAAGAAGAAATACTCGCGAAGTATGAGATGATAAAGGAGAATATCTTTTAGGAAAAAAAAGGAAGGGTGGTGGAAGCAGAGATGTGGAGACTCTACTGAAACAATCTAGGAATGAAAAAAACTACTGTGCACATTTCACTCATTTGCCGTTCTTTGTTTTGTATTAGCAATTACTTATTTTTTTTTTAATGCAAATAGTAGTCTTTTTTGTAGCTGAAAGGAACGGTGCAGAATGATTCATACTATGTGCAGTATCATCATGCTATATTAATTGCCACGCTATCTTAGCTCTTGTCAAGAATCCTGTGGGCTGTGACCTGTCATCGTTCCAGAGGCATGTAGAAGAATGTTTTAAAGGCTGAAAGAAGTGGACTACATTTTCAAAATTCTTATATTTCCTAAATAATGTAAAGCAACATGACTCTGTTCTCTCAAATAGCAGTTTGTAAGTTGTTCCACAAGCATGCTTCGTGGGCATCAGCTTGTTGCTCCGCTTTGTTTCACCACTGCTTGTTCCTGAAGTTCCAGTGGCTTTTGCATGTAGTGACTAGCATGTTTGTCTAAGGTATTGCAAGTGGGCTTTTGTTGTAAGGGCTTTTGCCAATAGCATACAGAATCTTGCCTCCTATAAAGATAAGGCAAAGAGGTTTAAAATAAAATAACAAAAAAATATCAAAGAGCCTGCGCATGAGTAGAATCCAGCTTCTTAAAAATGAAATCATCCATATGCATATCTAACTTTCAGAAAGTGCCTCCATACTTCTTTGCAACTGACCTGATGAAATGAAGCACTTTCTTGCATCCTCATCAGAAAGAAAAAGCCTATTACTGACTTGTTAGGTCAGTAAATATGCTGGCAAATGCATCTTCGGTGCCTATGTACTGAAAAATGAAGCTTTTTATGGGAAGTGTGAACATGTGAAAATTTAAGACACTAAATTCATAGTACAGGCAAATATTTGACTTGTGTTACCTAATGATACAATGACTTTTACAGTTAAGCAGAATGCTGATTTATAAAGTGAATTTGTTCTCATGATGAAAAATGTATAATTATTATCCAAAATAATATTTCTATAAAAGTATTTAAGAAAAAAATATTTAACAATTTAATAAATTAAGGAACTCACTGGAAACTTCTTTTTGTTCTTAGACACTTCTGCAATTATTTTTTTTTTTTAAATTTGAACTATTTGACTCCTCATCTAAGCAGTTTAAGCAAAAATAAAAGCTATGGTCACACTCACAATGACCTGTTCTAGATCATAGGATTGGGAAGGAACTTGAAACCAAAGATAATTTTCACAGAAGTCTGGACTTTGTCACAGATTCTGAGTTAATACAGTTTTTGGCATTTCTCTGTTTTGAGATTAATTGAATCAATACTATGGCTGCCAAAATGTTTAGTTAAAAGAACCTTGCTTTCAATTATGCTAAAAATAGTGCTAAAGTTGGCAGAAGCACTGTGAGCCCTAGAAACTGTATTTGTGTGTAAAGTTCCCTTGCCATCTGTTCTTTACATTTATTTTACTAAAATATATATTTTTAATCACTTTGCAAAAAATTGGCTTGGTGTTTAAAGTGTCTAGTACTTTTGGTGTCTCAAATTCTGTTATAATATGGGAATTTGCAGAACAAGTTCCCCGTAAAGCTCTCAGTGCACCTCATATCTGATGTGCAACACATGATGGTGGCAGTATTAATGCAGGAAAGTATTATATGACTTTCGCTAATTACCACTTTTGAGTGTGGTTAAAAAAAAAAAAAAGAAAAGAAAAAAGTCCACTTTCATTTTCATTTCACTTGAGCTTAATAGAAGATCAGCCTATGCCTCTAGAGCATCAGTGGTGTTCTCTGCGTGGTTTTGGGAGCACCTATAGGAAACCTCGAGATGATTCAGATGCCTGTGTGGCTCCTGGCAGAGGGCAGAGCAGTGGATGTCTGGGGCGTGAGACACCTGCTTCCTGCAAACAGGCAAGCTGATAGAGTAGCACTGTATACAAAGGCTTTGTGTTTTCTGCTTTTTTTTTCCTGCTTTGTGTGGAGGTGATATTTCTTTTTTTGCCGCTGTACGCCGTTTTTTTGGGGAAATGGCAGCAGGGATTTAGGAGTCATTTTGGATTTGAGAAAGGGAGGTGGTAGCTTGTGGTGATCAGAGCAGCGGCAGATAGGAGTTCTGTATTTTAACACACTCGAGTTTTCAGTCGGGAGCATAAATACACCATTAGTAGTTAGCCATAAATGGGAAAGATACGGCTTGGTTGTTACGCAGTCCTTCGAGGACCATCATGATGTATTTCTGGAGAAACCATCAGATGCATTAGAAATGTGCCAAATACTGCTTCATCCTGGAAGTCTGGAGCGTTTCATTGTAGGCAGGTCGCCGCGTTGTCCTTTTATGCCACGCACAGCTGTTATCTGTGCAGTGTCCATGCCAAGTGCAATTTCAGGCAGCACAAGGTACAGCCACCAGTGCACCACAAAACGGTCTTACCCTGATGTGAATCATCAGGATGAGAGGCAGCTTAACTATATACTCAGCGAGTAAAACATGTTTCTGTTGCTCTTTTTGCTTGAAGCATATTTGCTTATAAACCTAATGCTGTTCCAGTATCGTTTTAACAAGCAGCTGCTAAAGGATTCCTACTTGACCTTTGCAGAACGAGCCATTAAAAACCATGATGGTAACATCACAATCCAGAAGACTCTCCAGCAGTGAGTGGTCAGAGCAGATTGCAGGGCAAAGCGCATGTTGAGAGAGTGGCCGTCACCAGTCACCTTGCAAGGATGGATGCTCGTGGCTTGGGTCAGCAGCAGCTTAACAAGTCAGCCTCAGTTATCACAGGGCTAAAGTGGGCCTGTGACAATCTGAAAGCAGCTTCGGTTGTTTCTGTGAAAACCCGTGTAATGAGAACCTTGCGTTTATTTGCGTGGTGGGTTCATACAGTGCTTTGCTCAGCAGGCTCTTCCCACAGCCACGACTGGGCAGAAGGCAGTTACTGCAACCTGCTGTGACTTGGGACCTCTTGAAATGGCAGGAAGCAAGACATTTTGACTTGCGTGTCTCTTTATTTTTGTGAGTTGTTTTATTTCTCTTACACTTGAGCAAGCGTTTAGTGATCTGAGGACCTCTAACAAGCAGGAGTCTCTTTCAGAGGTATTGGCTGAAACATCTTGCTCTTCTGTTAGATTTAGGGGCTGAAGTGCTGCCTCTAAGGTTTAGGGGTTCATTACTATAATCAGGTATTTAAAAAAAGCAACATACTTTTTCCCACCTTGTAAACTCATTTTCTTCCGCAATAAACCAAATCCCTTTAAAGTAACACAGTCCTGCCTATTATATTCAGTTTATACCAAATAAACCCATTGGAAGCCTTCAGAATAGGGAACAGGGACAGAACTGCAGCCCTTGTTACAAAGAGGAGAGTTTGTCTTATGCTCCAGTCTTAATGTAGTATACTCAGCCTTTGGTGTGCATTATTTCCTAAATCAATAAATAAGCTGTAATAGAAAAGGTAGCATTTAATAAGGAAAGACATGGTATTTTTTTTTTTTTTTTTTTTTACAGATAGCTTAAAATACTGATTCTGCTACCAAACCTGTAAGAGGTCAGTTTAATTTGCAGAATCTAGAGAATAGGATCAGTTCATATACGTATTTTTATTATTGTTGTAACTGTTAAGTATCTACTGTTAATTAAACTTTTTTTTTTCCAAGTTCCAGATAAATCATACGTTATTTCGGGGAAACAAGAAACTGTATTAATGAGCATCAACTCCTTAATTATCCTTGTGACTACATAACAGGGACACATTCATGTCATTTCTTTGTGCAATAACTTTTGCAAAGAAGTATTTTTAAACTGATCATTAATTTTATGACCACAGAAATGAGATGCAAAATTTATGCTGTTGTCATTGGCACAGGTTCAAGGCACTACTGACATTATGTGTGATTGTAATGGAATGGCTGCCAACTAATGAGTCTATAGACATTTCGTTTGAGCATGCTTTGCTTTTAGATGTCTGATTAGGCAGTAATGCTTTCAATTATGCCTGCAAATTGCATTGGATACATTTACCTGATGCCCATTGTTGCTTTGTAGCTCGGTTTTCTATTACATAAATGCAAGTTGAATGCTTTTCTTTAATTTATTGATGGTTTTGGGGTGTATTTTTAGGTCCTTGGCACCTGAAGAGAGGAGTCGTGGCTTGTGCTGCTCAACACTGACTCCTCTGACTGTTTAAGGAGTAACACTGATAGTTTCAAATGCAATTCTGTCTAGTCTTCCGTAGGAGGTGGAGTATAAACAGCAGTGCACACCTCGATGGAGGAGAATGTGAAGTGGAGAAAAGGAAGAGATTACTCTGAGTGGGAATGCAGGAGACCCCACAGAATCAGTAGGAAGCCTCTCTGTAAACTGTCAGGAGCAATATCCTTATATATTAATAGCATACACTCCTAAGATGTCTTTTAACCCTGCCAAAATTAGGAAGTGAAAACCCAAGGCTGATAGTAGCCTGTAGTTATTCTTTCATGTGAGCACGTAAAAACATTGTGAAACGTTGTCTGTTAAAGCTCCACAGCATGTTGCGTCAGCTCTCTATCAAAATGACTGCAGCTCTTCTGTACAAACTAGATGAGTTAAGGATTACATTTCAGTATATAGTGTAAAATCACAAATACCTCTGTTTATTCTAAAATAAAAAATAGAAATATTTGCTTTAATCTCATCCTGCAGAGCTGCAGATTACTTGTATCTCTACTTAGTGTCTGTGACCTGTTCTCCACATTTTTCACGCACAGAGCTGTGGGTGCCTAAGTATACTATTGTATGACTTAGGATCTGTATATTTGTTCTGATAAATTTTCTCACGATTTTTCATTGTCTTCGAAGACTTCAAGCCTTTATTGAGAATTTAACATATCATGGATGCTCTGAAGGCTATAAAATATTTGAAAGCGTTCAGTAACTTCTTTATGATAAATCAGTGTGTTTTTTATTTTGTTTTTAGTTTGTTTTAATATTATTTAATATTTAGTTTGTTTTAATATTATTTTAATTTTAATATTATTTTGACCTCAGATACTCTGGACATTAAGGCAGATACTTGTTTTATTATAAATCGATATTTGTTGTTTTAAATATAATGTATACCTAGGGAATATACGTGGGATGCTCTAAATATGTATGTATATATTAAAAAGATTCTTTATAGATCATTTGGTGTTTATATGAATGCAAAGCACAAAGGTTTATTGAATTAAAAATCTTCAATATAATTAGAAAATGCTAATAGTGTAGTTTAATGAAAGAACAGGCTAAAAGTGTATCTACGTAAGCTGGCAGTAAATATTACAACTCCTCTGAAAGAGATTATGCATTGCTGGGAGGGGTAAAATTCTATGGAAATGTTCTTTTCATATGTGTACTTTTCTATTAGTCATCCAGATATACTTAGGTTTACCCGTACTGTTCAGCCTGTGGCTTTTGAGTGCTGGACTGTTTTGCTTGTGGAAATGTTTCCCTCTAGAAATACAGCCTAATATTTAAAATTTATGCTGGCATCTTCATGAAGGTTAACTGACAGTACATTTGTGCATAGCTGATAAAAGGGCATTTTCGGCTGACAACCAGGGTACCAGAGGTGGGGAGTTATGTACACCTATATTCTGTGCATTCTAAGCTAGTAAAAATTTAGGATAGGGGAGTAATGGAACAACTCTTGACAACATATAAGTTGTGAATATCATGTCTACTCTTTTTTTAACCGTCTATTTTGTAATATCTATTCTATATATATATGCATAGAGAGGCAACTGGTCTCTGGCAGGCAAGAGTGACAGATGATCATGCAGGCTGTAAATATGGCATAATATTTTTCTGTTCGTGGGCTCTCTCTGCTCTGTGGTTTTCTGTTTGGAGGAAGAGGTGAATCCTGGAGAGGGATAATTTACTTTTGATTGGTTTGACAGGTGTGATGAAATGCAAATATTTTGATCAGATTAACACGGTAGCTGGAGAGCTACTGGAAGATGGCTGTGTCAAAAATAGATTGGAGTCAGGTTCAGATTCTAAGCAGTTGTTGTATGGCCTCGGAGCTTGAAAAGAAGCTTTCCCAAGAAAAGCATACTAAATTAATGAAAGGAAAATCCAATTTGGTATTCAGCAGTCTTGGGCTATAAAGAAAAAAAAAATCCAACAAAGTAAAAAATCTGACTGTCTTATCTGCAAAGAAAGCACTCTGCTCTTTGGTAAGACCTGTGATGCTTTTGGGGCGCAGACTGAATTTGCCACGTTTTTCTGTTATTAAATAGAAGTAAAGAGGTAAAACTCTCAGCCGTGGCTAGACAGTCCAGCTGATGAATGTGGTTCATATGGGTGTGGAGAAGAATATTTTCACTGTTCATAGGGGTTTATTTTGGATCTAGAGAAATGAGATATATTACAGTGCTCCAAAAAGGAATATATGAAAAGAGAAGCATGTCTGGAGGTCTCTGGAAAGGTTTTCCATATGAATATACTAAACAATCTTTCTTGCTTTTTGAGAAAATTGAGGGTCATTTGATCTATTGGAGCATCATCATTAGGATTTTGGTTTGGTGTTAGCATCAGCTTTAATTACTGGATTTTTCTTGTTTGCCATTACTTTGTTTTTTAAAAAAATAATGGTTCAAGTTGTATATTTTTTTTTTTCTGTTTTCCTACATCTTCTTTGCCTGGATATAGTGCGTATATATATATACACAAAAATAAAACTTAAGAAATTATACTGAGCTTTGGAAAGAACTTAAGGAGAACTTAAGTTTTGTTTAACTAAACAAAAGCCTCAACTAATATTGATTTCTCTTTACCTTTCCCAAAGCCTTACCTTTAATACACTCGGATCAGCATAGTGCACAGGTTAGCTGATCATGTAGATTTTGTATACGCTGTAGTAGGGCACTCAGTTGTTTAAGGAATGCGTCAATAGGATGCTGCAGTTAGGCACATTCAGACTGGGCACTGTCAGAAGTCGATCCTGCTTTTAGCTTTGTGGGAGCAGTACACCAAGCACTACATTGCAAAGTAGTCCCTAATTATGGTGAAGAAAAGTGGACAGAGGGCAACAAACTGCTGCAAAAAGTAGTTTGGCAGTTCACTGGAAGGAAGTTGCTGCAAATACTCTCAGCACTTAGAAGGGAAGAACTTCTGGTCTTGACACTTCCTATTTCTCTTCCTGACAATGTTTTCTCTTGCCCACCTCTTTGGTGTGTTTTTTTTTTTTTTCTTTTTTTTTTTTTCTCCCCTCTGTAGAAGAAGCTGTCGGCCACACGGCACCAGGAGTGGGGTTGTTATATGACAGCCTTTAAGAAAACCACTCCAACAAAATGCACTTGGCCAATTCTCATGTTGCTCCAGAGCCGTGGTGTTTGTGGCTGTGAAGTACATGCATGTTATGAGAGTGCATGAGGAATGGGTATTTTTGAGTTTGAAATACTAATTGATATCCTCCTGAAGAATAAAATAAATTGAATAATGAAACTACTTGTCTTTGGATTCTGTGTTTGTATGACAGACTGTATTGGCGAGTAATGTTTTTGTCTTTTTTTTATTTTATTTACTTTAACAGAATTGGAAGATGAGGAAGAGTCTGAGGGCTCTTTTTCTTCGCCTCCTGATAGTGTCTCAATAGCATCTGACCGATATGATAAAGACGATGAAGGACACTCTGATGGTATGTGACACTGTTTATCTTAAAATATACTAGATGTGCCAGTTTGCTACAAACTCATGTAATCGGAGCCTCGTGATGAGAATGTTAGTGATAAACAGATAAGCATCACAGCTGGATAGCTTTCTTACCTTTACAAGAACCTTTAAAGGAACTGAAGAGCTCTCTCTAGTGGTACCAGAGCATAGTGGTAGCTGTCACAGATTTGCCTTTTTTTTTTTTTTTTTTAAACTCGTGTTTCTTCATAACAAAACATCTTCTGTAGATGCATATGTTTTTAAAGATAGATCAGTGGCTAAAACAGTGTGAATATTTGTAGTAACAAATTGTTTGTTAATTCAACATTATCAGATTCTTGCTTAATTTTATTGTGCTACTTAATGGCTTACTGTATTATTTATCGTATAAATAATGAAACAGTTACGTGATTGATATTTTTCTGCAAACTCCGTGCAGAATAGGTTCATAAAATATTAAATTAATTATTCCTATGTTTCCTTGCATTAAGATAGTCTTTTGTAGAATGTTTTCGTTATATACATTTTAAATTTGAGTTTGCATTAAAAAAAAATAATCTGGGCTCTGTAGCTGTTTTCCATGCTGTTTTGTTTTGTATTCATTACATTTAATGCTAAATGTGACTGTTTTGAAGACATGAACAATTGAATATTTCAATAGTTAACAAGCTTGCTTTAGCACAGTGTCCATATTTTTGAGGTTCATTTATTGTATACATAATATTAAAAACCTTCTACGGATAATACATAGCAATAAATTAAGTATATGTACAAATAAATTAACGATGTATATTAATTTGTGGCAGTGGAAGTTAGATAGACTTACTAGTGAGTGATGTTTTCTGACATGATATGATGATCAAACTGTGCAGTTCCTTCTCGAAATACAATTGCTGAATGAAAATATGCTTCCCGCAACATAGCACTCCACATTTTATGTTATCCAGATTATTCCCTTTGGAAACATAAATTGCTTTTATGAGGTATAAAATTATGTCTATTGCAGAACAGGGATAAGTCAAGTACATGCATAAGTGATAAACCTTCTAACCACTGATTCAGAATAACACAATTTTTTTTATATCCAGGACTCTGTAAAATGTGTAGCAATAATAATCACACTTTTTTATATTGAGCTTGTTGCATTTTAGCAATGTGACCTTCTATTAAAAAAAATAGAAACAAGCCTTTTTGTTTTCTTGTTGAAATGTAATTATCAGTCAAATTGAATATGGCTTTTAGAAAACTGAAGCTAATTTTCCAAACTACAGATGAATGCAACTTTCCATTTATTTATTTTTGCTTACAAACATAATCTCAACATTATTTCTAATTGTAACTTAATAACATGGTACTGATTGCATAAAGGGTATGTGACAACATCGTATGACTGTTTAATAGGAGATATGATTATGTAGTTGTTTCAAAACAGTTAATCAAGAAAAAAGTAGTAACGTTCATAAAAAACAAATAACGAATGGCTGAGGAATGCTGATACAAGAGTATATGAAATACCATATGATTTTATACAGATGATTAATTAAGTTTTAGCCCGTTTTGGAAGCTCCAATTATGAGATTAGATATAGTACCTACCCAGCAATATCTTGGCTAACTCATTACGGTTTTGGGTGGAAGTAAGGTAGGTGTGATTTTCTTACATTTAAGATGTTATCTCATTGTTCATTCTAAATTTTTGGATAAATTCTCTTCAGTTATCCAGTGAAAGCTCAGCATGAGGAAAAGATAAAAAAAAACAAACAAACAAAAAAAAAAACACAAAACATGGCACATCTTGATCTGTAAATACTTAATGTTTATTATAGGAATGTTGCTATTTCCCCCCTTGGAATGACATCCTGGCCATTCAAAAGCATTTTGATTTTAACATATGTAGTCCATCATTCAAGTGTAGCCACATAGACTATGTATGAAAGTCTGTGTTGGGGGAATCTTAGAAGAGGGGGATTGATCTCAGAGGTGCAATTTGTTTTTGTTTTCATAGGCATGATTGCGTTTGTTGAAGCTTAATACTGTATTTTTATTTTTCAACAGTCTGTTAATGCTCCATATTTAAAACCTAGTCAAATAGCTGGATCTGTAAGGCAGACGTTTGGTCTTATGCAGTTACCAGTTTAGTTCAGCAGGGCTGTGCGCAGGTGTAAAACCTCATTTGTGTAGGATCAAGGCTCTCGGCATTAATAGAGGGGCCTAAATGTAGTAACCAAATGGAGAAGTGTTATTTATTTATGAGTCCATTTATATTTTTTATACAAAACCTTTTATGCTTGCTTTCTTTTTTAAAAATAAAATGGATTTTTTTTTTTTACCTTTATATGCTTGAGTTACAGATGGCAAGATTTGTATGACTTCTGAAAGTATCACTATTGGGCTTTGCCGTGTTACTGTCAAAACATAATTTGTGAAGGCACCCGCTTGATAACAGATAAAGAATTAGTGTATTACGTGTGCATTACAGTCATTGTAAAATCCTGGAGTTTTTGTGTGACCTTTGTCTAATGGTGTATTAATTACAAGAGAGATAATCCATTTAACAATAAGTATGGGATAACTAAATTAGCACAGGTCACCTAAAGGCCTTTTGTCAAATCTGATTGTTATGTTGTCCTTTTGACTTTTACCTTATGGTAGGCACTAACAAAGTATCTAAACTTTGATGGATTATAAACTCTAAACATGATATGTATTTTTCATAATGCTAATGTAATTTTCTAGGTACTGAAAAGGTCAAACCCCCACGTCTCTGTGTGCATTCTAAGTCTGTCTTTCCTTTTAATATTTCTTTTTCTCTGTTCTTCTGGTTCAAAAGTTCACTCAGTTCCCAAATGGCCACCTAATTTTCCAGTTATTCCCTCAAGCCATATGTGTTTTGGTTTCTTTATGGTTTATTAGGTACTGTAGGAAAGTAGCATAAGTTATATCTTCTAATGAAATTCAAGCACACTTCAGTGATGCTTTGACTTGATTGCTGGCAGCAATTAAATCACAACGAAGGAGAATGATGCATAGGCTTACATGTCCAGACACCCTACAGAAATTGGAAGAGGGATAAAACACAACAAAACCCCCAAATAAAATAACAAACCCAAAACCAAGACAGACAAAACAAAACAGCACTGCCAGGCACTCTGTGCTTAACTTGATTTTTTTTTTATTGGCTAACAGCCTGATTGATAGCAAAATCATAACTTGCTGTATGCTAACAGGCAGAGTTCACTTGTAGGTTATTGTGAGCTGATAAAGGGTTAGATGGAGTTTTGATTTTCGCATTGGTCCTTGGTGCACCAGATTAATGGAATTTCAATGAGAGACTGGAGTAGTCACAGCTTTGTCAGAAAAACAGATGGAGATTCTATAGCCATGTCTGCTCATTAATACCAGTTGCCTGAAAGGTGTACTACTTCTCTATACAAAAGACTCAACATAATTGATTTTTGAGCGGGGTGTTTTTTCACTTATTGATGACTAGGTTTCTTGCAACTTAAATGACAGCTTTTTGTATAGTACGTTGTGTAACAACGTTACGTCTTGTAAATTCTTACTCCCCTTCTATCTGTATTTTAAAGAACGTATGGAGTGGAAAATATATCTCTAGATACATTAGGGACCAAAGCATACCAAAATACTTAAAAAGTGAAATTATTCATTTCTTTATTTACTTTAAACTTTAGTTTACTTTAAACTTTAAATGAAGTTGGTGACAAGCTTATTTTTAGTTGAGATGATAATTAAATGAAATCAATTAAATGAAAAAGTCATATTAAGGGGGAAAAATTACTGATTTTCATTAAATTTTCAGGTTTCTTGGGATGATAGGAAATCTAGATTCCATATCTATGCCAAACTGGAACTTTCCTATGCTTTAATAGTACAACTGTCTTTTAGGATCTTTTTTTTTGTTTTTAACAGTACAATCTTTTATTGTATAGAAACTTGATTCTAATAATAGCATCGAACTCGATGATGCTATTATTTTTAAGGTACACACTTTCTGACTTTGTTTTTGTAACTACGGCGGGTGAACCTACTGCTCCTGAAGGAGATATGTCTATATTTAGCTCTGAAGGGAGTATGTGATTTGGTAATTACTAGATCTAAAAAGATCACAGTGAATGCTAGTAAAATAATTTAGGTCATCTTCATTTCTGTGGATGGTCTAGAAATGTTGCCTTGAGCATGTGAAGATGAAAGAAGTATTAAAAATGTGTCTGGGGACTTGTGTGCTCTTCAAATTATCCTACTTGACTATAGCATATGAATAAAATATGCTTTTTAGTAGAAAATTCTTAAATAGACTGATAATGTCAGGGAGTTAGTTTCGCTGAGACACTTGTGGACAATCTGAAGATCTGCAGCCTTCAGTGTTTTCTAGGCAAGAGGAACACTTGAATAATGTCACCCTGAATAGAAATCTATACAAGTTGAACACAATGCAAAGTACAACATACTAAGCAGGAGCTTAAAACATGAAGAGTATCTTACGAATTCAGTTTATGACTGAAACCCATGTCTCTTCTTTTAATCTGTATTCCCAAGCTGAACGGGATACTGGTGCATATGGGAACCTGTGTATGAATTCCCAGGTTCAAATCTGTTTAATAGATGAGAAGAAGGTGTTAACCCTGTTGAAATAATAGTCAAAAGTTATAAAGAAGATCCTTTGGTTAGGAGGAACCTCTGAGTAAAGTCAATGTATCACCTTTCCCATGCCTGAGATGTTTTTTGGCAGACACCTGTCCCATCTTTCCTAAAAATCTCTCATGGTGCAACTGCACAGTGTTGCCCAGGCAGCTTGTACAAGTGCAGCCTTGTGCTTGCTAGCAGGGGGATATATCCTAAAATTTTCTTGTCAGTCTCTTGACATTTGACTCTTCTGGTCCATAAAGGTCGTGACAATGGTATACTTCCTTTTTTTTTCCTTTTGTCATGAATATATCCAGAGACTGAGAAGAGGCTTTGTAACTCT